TTTTTTTTTTTTTTACAAGAGCAAAGTCTGCATTTTTAGGTGAAATCTCATTTTGAATTTTTTCTTAACGTTCGTTTATTTTTGAGAGAGAGAGACAGGGCGAGCGGGGGAGGGGCAGAGAGAGAGAGAGAAGAAGACAGAATCGGAAGCAGGCTCCAGGCTCCGAGTTGTCAGCACTGAGCCCGACGCGGGGCTCGAACTCACGGACCGCAAAACCATGACCTGAGCTGCAGTCGGATGCTCAACCACCTGAGCCACCCAGGCGCCCCTGAGGTCTCATTTTGAAATGACAGCAGCTAATTAAAAAAACTCGAAGCCACCGGACAGGTCGCAAAACAGGCCTGGTCTCTAGGGTGAGGCCAATGATTCTTTAAAAAATACAGAAATTGTGGTAAAATATGTGTTATGCTAATATTGATGATTGTAGCCATTTGTAAGCATATAATTCAGTGGCATTAAATACGTTCAGTATATTGTACCATCACCACTCACGGTCACCACTACCAATTTTCAGAACATTCTGGAATTTCGAAACAGAAACTCTGTACCCGTTAAGTAATAACCGCCCCCTCCCCCTGAGCCTCTGGAGACCTGCCTTCTGCTCTGTGTCTCTATGAATCTGCCTATTCTGTGTACTTGGTGCAAGTGGGCTTATATCACTTGTCCTTCTGGGTTGGGCCTGTGTCACTTAGCATTATGTGTCCGGGGTCTGTCTGCGTCATTGCGTGTGCCGGAATTCGCTTCCTTTCCGAGGCTGGGTGCCGTTCCGCTGGACGTATATACCCCATCCCGTTCAGCCATGCATCTGTCGAGGGACCTCTGCCTTCTCGGAAGAGGCGTTCTGCCCCAGCACATACTGGATAGTGATTGTAATTTATGGCACCTCTCTTAATTCCGGCTGTGCTGACAGATGGCTGAGCACGGGGGTATGGGATGAGGAGGGCGCGACATCTGAGGTTGTCCTGGAGAGGGAATGGGGGAGGCAGGTGCATGGCCTCATGGTGACAGAGGGGATGAGGGTTGCCTGGGGTGCCATGGGGGCTGTGGCTTGGCTCTCCTGGGAGGGACTGCAGCCGATTCTGGAAACATGAGCCCCCTGGAATGCCTGCCCAGTGTCCTTCACTGTCCTGGCAGAGAAGTTGCTTGGGCACAGGGATCTGAAACCACACCACGTCGACGGGGTAAGGAGCACTGGTTCTAAGGGTCAGCTGCTTGGGCTCAAATCTGGCTTCCCCAACCGGTAGCTGTGCCTCCTTGGGCCACTGCTTTTGCTTCTCTGTGCCTGGTGTCCTCACCTATCAAAACCCCAGACGTGCGGCATGGGGTTGCTGTATGCATTAGACAAGTCCATACCTGCGAGGTGTTTTGAGGGGGTGCTTTGCATATAGATTGTGCTCGTAACCAATAGCTGCCATTTCTCCTGGGGGCGGGGTGGTCAAAGTGGTGCCTGGAGAGGCCGTATCTGGAGGCCCAGGGGGAGCAGAGGGGGGCAGGGTTTGAGAAGATGGGCCTGAACCTTTGTGGTGGATGTGACCCTAGAAAGATCTTACCTACATAGGATCCTCCGTCGGCCTCCCAGGAAGCTGGTCACCCTGTCTCGCTTGATAACCTGGGGCTTTTCTACTCGACCGCATCTCTCTCATTGCACTGCCCCTGTTGTTGCTTGAAGACTGTGATTTAGTGACTGCCCACCTCCTGCCTTTGGACAAACCCCCGTTCCTTCCCTGGGCCTCACTTTCCCCATCTGATGGTGTGGGGCTGGCTAATTTCTAAGGGTAGTTCCAAGCACCTGCGCCCTGGAGCGGAGCCTGGGTGGCTCAGTCGGCCGAGCGTCCAACTCCGGCTCACGTGATGATCCCACGGTTCGTGAGTTCGAGCCCCGCGTCGGGATCTGTGCTGACA